TATTAAAGTATTTTTGTTGACAAATAATAATTGTCCAGACTTATGAGGCTTACAAGGCAAAAATGTGCCATTTCAATATATGTATACAATGAATAATCGCTAAGTTAGGTTAACTTGTTTATCTATCATCTCAAATATTGTTAACTTCTTTGTGTTGGGAAAACTTTTTTCTAGCTGTTTTGGAATTGATAACATAGTATTGTTAATACTGTACTATCTGATACTAGAACTTTTTCTCCTATCTAATGATACATTTCTCTATACTCACCACCATTTCTCTATACTCCCTATCCCTATCCCCTAGTCTCTACTTCTGTAAGATTAGTTTGTTTAGCCTCTACATATGGGTGGTATATGTCACTTGGATTATTTCACTTATGTCTTACAGTTCTATCTATGTTGATGTAATGACAGGATTTTATTCTTTATATAACTGAAGAGCTATATATGTGTGTGTGTGTGTGTATGTGTATGTGTGAGTGTGTGTATAATTTATCCATTCATATGTCATTGGACACTAGGTTCATTCCATAGCTTGGCTATTGTGAATAGTTCTGCAATAAACATAGGAATGCAGATGTCTCTTTGGCACACTGATTCCATTTCCTTTGGATATAAACCCAGTAGTGGGATTGCTGGATCATATGTTAGTTCTATCTTTAGTCTTTTGGGGAGCATCCATACTGTTTTCCATAATGGGCATATAATTTACATTCCCACTAACAGTGTATTAGAATTCCTCTAGCTCTGCTTCCTTACCCTCATTTGTTATTATTTTTGCGTGTTTTTGTAATAGCCCTTCTGAGGTCCATGCCTAGATTTAAAAAAATTGATATACACTGATACCTAGCCAGAGATGCTGTATGGATTGACTTATACTTGAAATCTATTAGCCTAAAGCTGATTTCCTTCCCCTTTCTTTTTTTCTTTCTTTCTCTTGGTGTGTATGTCTGTGTGTGTGTGTGTGTGTGTGTGTGTGTGTGTGAGAGAGAGAGAGAGAGAGAGAGAGAGAGAGAGAGAGAGAGAGAGAAGAGAGAAGAATCTTTTTCTGGTACTGGGGATGGCACTCACGGCATTGGTCATGTTAGACAAACACTCATCCATTGAGCTGTACGTACCTTTAGCCCTTACAAAAGGTCTTTCTGTGTAGCCCAGGCTGGGCTGGAGCTCAGTACATAGCTCAAGTTAGTCTAGGATTCACAATCCTCCTGTGTCAGCCTCCCAAATATCTGTGATTACTGGCACATCCTGCTATTTTCAATTCTTAGAAGATAGAAACCACATCCCTTGTTTAACCTCTATGAAATGAAAATTCTAAAACATATACAAATGTAGAGATACCAGTTAATAAATCTTGTGTAAGCTTCTAAATTTTACATAACTATCAATATCTCAAACAAGAAACATGAAGGTATAGTAGGAAAGCAAATTTAAGTTTTGTTGGGTTTTATTTTCTATTTTAAAAATATTTTATATTTAACTTATGTTTATTAGTGTATTGCTTCAATGTATGTAAGTGGTACATTATAATCTGATGACTAGAAAAATTAACTGTTTAATGCAAGATTTAAGGAGTGACCTATTCTTTCTGCCATACTCCTATCTTTAGTTTTTGGCTCTTGGCATCACATAGATAATTCTCCATGTTGATATTGCTTGAAGTTGCCTGTAGAAGAAACTGCTAAGGAAAAATGACTTGTGTCTTCCTCTTTTGCTTGTATTCTCATTTTTTCATCCTGCATCCCTGGAAAAGTTACACTTATCTGTTTCTAAACAATTGTTTCTGATTTTCTTCTTAGCTTATGGAGTAGCATGGTATTATAAAAAGAACTCTGTGTTTGGCTGGCTAGTCATGGCTTTTGTTCTTGGGAACTATGTGCTCCTAAGAAAGTAATTTAACCTTTACAAGCCTTGTTCAATCATCCATGAAGTAAGAGGGCTGGACTGGATATAGTAATTCATGTCTCTTTCTATTGTGAGTTCTGTTATGTCTTTAATTAGAATTCCCAAGATTTGGCTTTATTCATAGAGAGTGTCACACTGATGTAATTTTAAGGTGCTCAAGGTATTTCCATGCTCCCCACACACAGAGTCAGAACTTCCACCATCAGTAATCTGTTTCATTGATTTTGACCTTGTCTCTTCTTGCTAGTTTTCCTTCTAATAAGAGAATCTTATATAGGTACTTTGTTGTGAATGAACTACCCATTCCCCCTTTTCTAGGTTTAGAAATACTTTTATGCCCCAAAGTTGGAAGTGGGCATTAAAGGGTAAACATAGAGAGAGTAGAAAGGTGTCAGAGATAGATTTCACTTCCTTCTCAATTCTTTTGCAGCTTGGCTCTGAGTGTTTTTATGACTCAACATCTCTGTGCTTAGAAAGGCTCAAATAAGAATAGCCTATTTTGTATTAGACAGAAGAGGGTGTTGGATCCCCTGGAACTGGAGTTATGGATGGTTGTTAGCTACAATGTAGGTGCTGGGATTCGAACCCCAGTCTTCTGTAAGAACAGCCAGTGCTCATAACCACTGGACCATCTCTCCAGCCCTGTGAAAATTCTTTTTCCAAAATCTTATTTTACTTAACAATTTCAATACTCTACAACAAACTATTTGACTACAGCATACAAATTGATCAGTGAATCTGAAATCTATTTCTTTTAATATTTATTTTTATTCTTAATTGCATGTTGCATATATTCTTGAGTGTTTCTATGTTCATGTGAGTGCAGGTGGTCATAGAAAACAGAAGAAGGTATTGAATACCCTGTAATTGGAGTTGCATGTGGTCATGAGCTACCCTAATTGGGTGCTGAGAACGGGAATTGAGGCCTTTGGAAAAGCAGTGCATTCTCTTAACTGCTGAGCTGTCTTCCCAGTCCACTGAAATTTCTTCTTGATATATACTTTTTAAATAGCTTACTTTTTATGTGTATGAGTATATTACTTGCATGTATGTAAGTGCACCTGTGTCATACAATGCTTATGGAAGTCAGAAGAGTGTGTTGGATCTCCTGGAACTGGAATTATCAACAGACAGTGGTTAGCCACCATATGGGTGCTGGGAGCCGAATCCAGGTCCTCTGCAAGAACAGCCAGGGCTCTTAACCACTGGGCCATCTCTCCAGCCCTGAGATATAATTTTTTAAAAGAAAGTTTGTCCAAAAGATCAAATAGGAGAGAATCCATGTCTGGTACTGTAAACACAGCCAAATACTGGTGGCTGTAGTAGTCATAGGCTCTAGAGGAGAACATATTGCTGCCATTTTCCTAAATCAATGTAATTCTTACTATATTCTAAATACTTATCCTTATACCCACAGATAAGCTTAGCTCTCACACTTATCAAAGACGCTTCTTTCTGCAAACATGAAGACTTTAAAAAGTTCCACAAGTGGTCAAAATGTATAAAATAGGTGACCATGGGTTGCCTTTCTCCAGTTGACACATTAACAACACAACTACTGCATCTAAGGTTCAGGGAACATCATAGAAGTTGGATTAGAAACACTGTAAGAGTGAAAGGACCAGGATGTCTGGTGCTGCAAACCTAGTCAAATACCAGTGGCTGGAGTGGTCATAGACTCTAGAGGCTACTAGATAACATCTTCTAGACATGACAGGAAAGCTGCTTCCATGAAATTTCAACAATACGGTTGCCTAATCAAGACCTACATAATGAAAAAAAAAAACAGTCAAAATGTCAATGTGGACAGGGGAAATGTCACAGGATCCCATGGCTGCTGAGAGAGGGAGAATCAGTTTTCTTTAGGAATGAACCCTCTGATACATTATCCAAGTAGTCAGCCCTAAACACATGTACATATGAGCAACACTAAATTGACTCAACAGGCTTTGTGTGTGTGTGTGTGTGTGTGTGTGTGTGTGTGTGTGTAAGAGAAAGAGAGATAGAGAGGAAGAGAGAGATAATAAAAGAAGAGGTGATGAAACTGCGAGGGAGTGGGGGGGCATGGGAAGAGTTGGAGGAGGGAGAGAGGGTATAGAAAGGATGCAAGTACAGTACTCATGTCTGATATCCCCCCCCCAAAAAAAAAGATCTAAAGACCTAGGGCTGCATTCTGGATTTGCCACATTTTATCATGTAATGCTAGAGAAATCCGCATAACCTTGCTGAACCTTAGCTTGTGGTTTATAAAGTAGGAATAATAATATCCTCCCTGACTACATCACAGGGATGTTATTGTAGGCAATTTGTTACTAGGATGGGCTTTGTAAATCTAAGCATGCTCTTGGAGCATAAGCCATTAGACAAAATGAAGAAAAATACTGAAAAATGGGGGAAAGGTAGCTTTTAACTTAGACTCCAACCAAGGAGTTTATCAATGATTGAATCACACACACACACACACACACACACACACACACACACACTGCCCCTATCACAATTGTTTTCTTCGCTTCAGAGGTGCATGCAGGTCCAAACTGGTCTCCAGCTGAATTCATAATTACCAACAGCACTTTTCTCACTAGTAAACCAGTCTTGAGTCTCATATAAACTATTACCTCACTCCTACAGGAAGAATGGTATAAAAACTCTGTGACATCCATACATCAAAGGAGCCAGAGACCTGGAAAACTTTGATTAGGTGTGCTGACCAAAAAGATGTACCATCTTGGTCACAAGCAGAGATTTAGCAATGAAAGGAGAGAAAGGAAAAACGGTAGGATGTAGATCATCTATGAAGTTCTCAGCAGCCCAGTTCATGAAAACTCGTCTGGTGAACACAAGACTATCTTCTGAGCAGTCCAAACAGCAGCCAGTCTAATGTTCAGTGAATATGATGGTGATAACTGTACTTAATCTCTTTTTCCCTTGTCTTTAGGTTTTCCAGAGGTAGGTGCAGATGCAGTGCTCAGGAAAAAAAAAAAAAAGCTGACGGAAGGGGGTCCCAATGCCGTCTCCTCCTCCCATCCCCCAGGTCAGGCTTGGAAGACTGAAAGGGTTTCACTTCCGCCCGGCTGCAGGAACCACAAGTTCCAGACTAGGTCGAAATTGGAATAATCACAGTCAAAATACACCCAGATGCTCTCACACACCCAGACGTGCGTGCATCCTTGGGCCACGGGGAGCACGTGAACCCACACTCCGCACACCCAGCCCTGCCTCTAGCCAGAGCATCCTCAGCAGCTGCCACAGAAACAGCCTCCTCCTTCTCTTCCTCCTCCTCCTTCCACAGACACTGCCGCCGCTGCTGCTGCCGCTGCTGTGGTGCCTATCCCCTCTCAGCCTTCTTCCTCCCTCAATTCCTGCTCCTCCTCCTATTCCCCTTGATCCTCCTGCCCCGCGGCGAAAAGCAGAACCTTCAGAAACAGCTTCCCTTCTCTCGTGCCAGGAAGAAGAGGTTGGAACAGGTCTGTGCTGGGAGTGCTTTGTTGCGGGTTACTGAACCGCCAGTGGCTCTTAGAGACGCTGGGAGGGAGGACCTCGGGGTGGACGGGAGGGCGAGATTATTTCTCAATTTTCAGGGTTGCTATATGAATAGATTGGGGGGGTGGCGATAGGATAGAAAGGCACATCGATCTCTTCGCCAGTTCTACCCTCTTGGTTCATGGCGTGAGAGCAGTGAAGCTACCCGGACTCCTGCCCCCGCCCATCCCTAAAGCTCTTTCTTTGCGCCCCCACTTCCCACATTCACTTCCCAAAGCTAGCTTTCTCTTGTTCTGGGGGCTCAGGGATGGGGGTAGGGAGAGATTAATGGAGCCGATCCAACGGGGCACCTGGGGGCATGGGGCTTTGTTACACACGACAAAACCAGTCCTCAGCAGTTTCCAGTTCCTGGCTAGGCTGCTGCCTGCGGGTGAGGTGGGGTGTGGGCCGGGTGGACTAGGGAAGTAAGAGAACGTGAGGGGGCACTCCCTGTGTGTGACTGGGCATACAGGAACGCAGTAGTGTGCGCCAGGGGTTTTGTGTGGAATTCAGTGAGTGAGAGTTGGAGTGGTGTATTTGTGCCTCTCACTGTGTGTCCGTATGTGTTCTACGCCACAGGGCTGCGCTACTCTTGGCATTACACGTCCTTGTGTCCCATCCCAAACCAAGCCAGACTGCAACCACAAGCAGGCAAGCAGATCAGGTCCAACCTGTTTTACCCACATTGGAAGGGTAATGATGACTTCAAAGTGATGGAAATCCCCCCAGCTGGGGCAGTTGTTTAGTACTTTCTGGATGTGAAATTTACAACTAAGCTCACCAAGTACTGCTGGATACCTTAATTGACTCCCCTCCCTAGAAGACTCCCAACTTTCTAAGCAGGTTTTCTTCTCTCAGCCAATGAGGTTCCAAAGCTCTTATAGTGAACATTGCAGTGCCTTCCTCACCTCCTGCAATTAGTGGATCCTTATGTCTTCTTTTCTGCAATGAAGTTTGTGATGTGCTAGGATGTATTTGCACCGTCAGAGAAAAACCAATTGCACTTATTTATTAATGGTGAATGTACTTTAAAGACTTGTTTTTGTTTTTCTTGTAACACAAAGTAAAGTATATGGTTATTTTGTTTTTAATCAGAAAAAGATCAGTAAAAGTGAACAAAACTCCTTAACTTTTGCCTTGAACATTTTTATTTGTGGTTCTAATAACACATTGCTTTACAGGCCCCAAAACTATGCAGTTTAGTATTGTGATTAAATGATGGGCATCAGTAGTAATGTTAAGTACTGGAAGTATAGAAATGAATAAAACATCAGTTCACTTCTCAGGGAATGTAGGCTGCTCTCCAAAATAGAGCTCGGAAACAGACAGTATGACAAGGGATGGGCAGGGTACCGTGGGAGCACTGAGGAGGGGTGTCTGGGTGGAGGTGGGAGTCATGATCAAGACAGGCTTCTCTGGGATAGTGACATTTGAGTCATGGTTCTAATAACACATTGCTTTACAGGCCCCAAAACTATGCAGTTTAGTATTGTGATTAAATGATGGGCATTTATTGCACACCTGCCTTGTGTCAGTAGTAATGTTAAGTACTGGAAGTATAGAAATGAATAAAACATCAGTTCACTTCTCAGGGAATGTAGGCTGCTCTCCAAAATAGAGCTCGGAAACAGACAGTATGACAAGGGATGGGCAGGGTACCGTGGGAGCACTGAGGAGGGGTGTCTGGGTGGAGGTGGGAGTCATGATCAAGACAGGCTTCTCTGGGATAGTGACATTTGAGTCAAGCAAGTCTTGAGGGATTAATTCACCAGGTGGCTAAGTGGAGAATGACATCCTAAGCTCAAGGAGCAGCATGTATAAAGGCAGAGAGGTTAGAGTTAAGTAAGACTGCAGGGAGTTTGAAGTATTACTGTCAAATTCTCAGCAAACCCAGAATGGATCTGTGTGGACTAGAATGATGATTAATGATGCATCCAAAAAGAGCCAGTATTACAGATTGATGAGTGTCAGAATGCATCCTCATCCTAAGAAATGTCTGGCTCATGTATTAATATAAGTGTCTTTGCTTTAAGCAAATCTGATATATGTGATTATGGATTTGCAATGCAAATGAACTTATTGGACAATATTCAAATTGCAGTTTGTTGCTTTACAAAAGGGTTCATAATCAGATAATCTTAAATAGCATTCCCTCTCTGACCTTTTACAGCAAATGTGTTTTACGAAAAGCACATTCCACAGGAATTTTTATGTAGCCAGTGGATAAAGAGAGGTATATCTGCACTACATTCCCCTCTTATACAACAAGTTACTCATTTCAGTGCAGGAATTTCTTCTCATGCTATGAATGGTTGTGAAATACTTAAAGAAAATAAGAAAATGATGGCATTAAATACAAATTCATTAGCTGTGATCTTTTGTCATTTGAATCATATGAAATTAAGAAGGGCAGAATCTTCAGGGCTTTATATTTTAGGTACTTTTGATAGTGTCACTGGTAAACAGTAGCACAAGACTTCTGTGCTGTATATTGGTTTTGAAATGCATGTACAATGGCTACTGTAATACTCATGCAGTTAAGCTCAGCCAGGAGTTCATTTGGAGTCTTGTGTTCTACTGCGTTGGTACTGATTGTATAGGCTGATGAATAGAACTAGGACTGTGCCTGGACGTTGATTTCTACTCAAAGTGCCTGGTGACACTACATTATGCTGGTGAAGAGTGTAACGTTTGAGGATATGGTTCTGAGTCATGAACACCTCTTCCCTTAAGTGAAGCCCCCAAACAGCTCTGAGTTCTATTTGGAAAAAAAAAAAAAGCAGAAGTGGGTGGGAGTAGAATCTGCTTCTTTCCTAATTTGGCCAATACCCTGTTGTAGAGGAGGTGCTAGCCTGGGGTCCTTTGGTCTCATCGTTATCTTTTGCTCACTGACTGTGGATACCAGAATGTACCAGACAATATCTCTAAAAAAAAAATAAACAAGTCCCACTGCCTACTAGCTTGTATTGGATTTGAGCTGATCTGCATGTGCTGTGCTGATATTCAGATTAGTCCAAGGCCTAGGCCAATACTTCTGGATGTAAGTTCTGAAAAAGACAGAATGTCAGTAGTCCAGAGAGATTAAGAGCGAGAGCCAGAGTGAGAGCGAGTGTGTGCGTGTGTGTGTGTGTGTGTGTGTGTGTGTGTGTAGAGAGAGAGAGAGAGAGAGAGAGAGAGAGAGAGAGAGCACTTTGTGGCCAACTTTGGGAAATTCTTGCTTAAAGACAATCATGGTTGTTTACTCCTTAACTTTTAAAAGACTATACTAGGCTAAAGCATACTCTGACTCTTCAGGAAAACATTTGCCAGATATCTGTAAAACCTGGCATTCCAACACCATTTAGCTAGACTGGTGTTAAGAGTATTTGGGGTCTATATTTGGCAAAGAGAATCATATGCTGGTTCAGAGACTGTCAATAACTTGCTAGGTAATCCCAGATGAAAGATAAACTTGGATGACTGCTTTTCCCTTTCTCAGCCTTTCTTCCCTCCTCCATTTGCAAAATGAGACTGATAATAATCATTGTTCTCATTAACTGTGATGGTGTGATGACAACTAAGATAATATCTCTGCAAGTATTTTGAACTCCTTAGAAGAAAGGATCTATATGAACTCAAGGTTATTATAAAAGGGAAGTGGAGAATTATGGCAATTATCCTGATAATTCAGGCCCAAATCCTGTTTATCTGCTGTGTTTTGGGCAGCGTCCCTCAGTTCTCTGCTTTGTTTTGACTATGAAGGCCCATCCTCATTTAACCTTGGGTGACTCAGTTCTTTGAGCTTATTTCCTTTCACATCCTGAAATTTTCACTGTGGCCTTTAATTTCCTGATTCAGAGTTACCATCAGTACAAACTTCAGGGAAAAAAAAACCATCAATCTGAGCACACCCTGCTGACCAGAGAATGCTAGAGGTGGGAATTAAGTTTGGTTGGAAAGTCGCTTTTATCCTTCACACTAATTATCTTTCAGAAGCAGTTAGATTATCTTTGAGCACTCACTGATGCAGGGTTCCTCTCTGCTGACTCAAGTTTCCATTCAGGGCTAGAGTCTCTTTTATAAGAAAGACTTCTTGAATACCTATTTTGGGAATCCATCTCTTCAAGGCTGAGCCCATCTGTAAAGAAATTTAAAGGCAAATGGACTAGTACTCATGTGACTATTGACTCTTCCTAATCCTTGATGCTGTAATTCCATTAAATTCTTTTTCTTTACAATCTGACTTAAATAGAGAATGGACCTCTTGAGAATTAATGGCTATTCACCATTGAAAACTGGGCTTGAGATTGAGCCCAATGCGGAAGTGTTGGAATATTTTATTTTAAAGTCTTCTGTGCAAGGATTAGTGCTTCTTTGCACGAAAGCAGCAAGCTGCAGTTGCAGTAGGAAGGATTTCTGTTAGCCATATGCAAAAGAAGTCTTTTTGATGTTAGGATAGTATGATGATGGAAAGTGAGAGTGAAGTTATCCTTTGTTCTGAACCACATGGTGGAGATGCTTAGCCAAAAGGAGAATCATGGAATGATAGGACTGTGTGGTGGGAGCTTTCTGCTTGGATAATGAAATAAAGACAAATGAAGTGAGTTGCCCAAGGTCACACAATAATTGCATGACAGAAGTCTTCCTTACAGCTAAAACTTGGATCTGCCATTTCCTCATGCTTCTCTATTAGACTGATCTACTTCAAATTTGTTTAATACATATATTGTGTGTATACATGTGTACATTCCCACTTACAAATGTATGCATATGTTAGGGTGCAGATGTGGACGTTAGAGGATAACTTGTGGGAGTTGGTTTTTTTTTTTTTTTTCTTTTTCTTTTTTTCTTGCACCATAAAGGTTATACGGATCAAATTCAGGTTGCCAAGCTTGGTGGTAAGTATCTTTACCCACTGAGGTTAAACTGTCCCACCAGCCCACTGAGCTAGCTTTGTATGTAGTTC